GTGTGTGTGTGTGAGTGTTTGTGCTCCAATTCCTTTGGATCGTCAGTCACATTCCTTCTTGTATAGTTGGATTTCTTAACAGTCTGAGTGTTGGTTGCAGACATAAAAATTGCTGTAATTTAAAATTTTACGTTGTAGTGAAAGTGTAAACACTGTCAGGGCAACAGGTTTTTCATCACAGCGAGTACAACGTGGCATTTGAGGAAGTACTTTATGCTATAAAACTGGGAAAATCCGTCTCAACTGTCTCAGCTGTTTGGTAGAAATGACTTCCTCAAATGCTTCAGATAAATGGTGTGAAATTATATTCAGGATGTAAAACTGTCCTTTCACTCATGCAAATGAGTGTTATCAGTACAGGTTACTCATATGGTAAGGAAGTGTTATGATGGAGACTGAATCCATCCATATCCAATTCTTGAATGGATGAAAATTGGATATGGAAGTGCGATGCACTCAAAGAAAAAACAGACAACTTAGCTATTCTTAGATTACCATTAGTGGGGCAGTTATTTTTTNNNTTTTTTATTTGGCCTAAGCGCCTAAATCTTAAAAACAAAACAACTTTGTCAGCCTCAGCTGTATTTAATTTCCATGTAGGCTTTCCATGTAACATGTATTTCACTGAAAGTTTAGCAAATTGCATGTTAACTAAATAAAACTTGTATTACTGTGTTGTTTAAGCACCACGTTCCCAAAAGGGCAACAAAATTACAGTATTCTTCAATCAGCGTCTGCCCCCAACTTGTGTATTTGTGTAATAAAAACCCCCCAAAGGCTGTCTTTGAAGTTTGACATTACAAGTTAACCTAGTCTGCTTCAAATGCTTTCCAGAAGTCACACAGCCACGATCGTAAACTCTTTCATGTTCTTCTATCTTGTTACCTGGACTTCACTTTTCAAGCCGTCAGCTCAATTATCTTTTGGAAATACCGTCTCTATTCCCAATCGCCTTCACTGTTTTGACCTCTTTTGATGTTTCTTTTCTGCCTCTTACTCTCTTTAGTATGGCATTGTCTTGGATGCTGGATCTTCGCACACAGCTTTGTATATATACAAGTGGCCAGCAGACAAACAAAATGGCACAGGTGTGGTCACCCAGCACAAGGAATGTCATGTTATGGGTAAGTATCAACGCTTTTTCCACCAAAAATCTATGTTTTGTGAGTGGGCTCTAAAAAGTTAATAACTTTCTTCTCCTCAGAGGACAGCACCTTCACAGTAAAAACACCATGGAAACCATAACAGTAAACACTATCTGTTTCTCCTCTGGTCATTCTTATGCTTAGTATGTTCCAGACAGTAATAATTTTTCAAAAATATGGCCTATCACAGCTGTTGCTCATGACAACCATTAGCACATAGCTACAAATAGAAGCAGTTTTTTTTTTTTTTCATATTTCAGCAACAGTAGGGGTGTTTGGAGCACACAGAACACACATACTGTATGAACAATAAATACAAATAAGTGATTTATGCTGCAGGAGAGGTTGAAATTGTTGGACCCAGGTGCACTAGTGTGAAATGGAAGCTGTGTATATAGCCTACTTGGGATATTATGGTGAAAATGCGAGTGCTCGGGGCATACTGAGTATACAGTTAGAAGTAAAATAGGCTTTTGATCTGATTTGAAAGTTCTTTTTCTTGTTATAGTCACCAGTGGGTTGGATCTGAAATAGTGCCAGCTGTTTCCTGTGAAAGGATTATATTCTCACAGCAAGTAAAGCAAATCTTTGTCTTAGGCAGTCATGAATCAGGAATGAGTCACAATGAGCTCTGTGCTTTGCCACTCCTGGTCTGCCAAAGGGTTTTATGTTTCTTGACTTAGATAAACAAACACTTTTTTTCCCAATTAGTCATGGACATGGTGTTTACTTTGTCATGTTTCATGATCATAAAAATCTCCAGTCAGAAGTGAGTTTTGATCCTTATATGAATGTCTGAGATTGATATGAAAAATTACAACTTGTTAAAATTAGACAATTGACACTCCGCAAAAAGCCACAGGTCGGAGTCGAACCCATGGCTGCTGCAGCAAGGACTTAGACTTGGTACACGAGGCAGCAGCTCTACCAGGTGAGCGCCCCGGGCGCCCCTAATATGATGTTCTTCAAGTAGATTTTTCCATTTGAGTCAAGATAGGCAACGTGTACGTCAACATTGATTGATTCATTCTCAGTGTTCACCCACATTGTGTGTAGATTGTCATGGAGTTTTTCTTCCAGACGGGACATCTCTAGTCTTGTGGGTGTGATCCATTTACATCATGATGTGTGTGGTTCACAACAGCTAACATTATTTTGTGCTAACAGAAAAAAACAAGAATCTACACGTCTATACATTATAGACGTGTAGCAATCAGATGGATTTTTAGTTTAATCCTGTTTACCTCCCATTTAGGCGGAGGAATATCCAGCTATGCGGGCCAACAGGGAAAAGCAGGGCAAAGCTTAGAGGCATGTCTGGACCAGGCAGTGAAGGACATCCCCAAAGAAAGACACCAGCTCACACCTGTGTACCTGGGAGCCACAGCTGGCATGAGGCTTCTGCAGTGAGTCAGTGTGTGTGTCTGTCTGTGTTTATTTTGCTTTGTTTCTACATGATTTTGTTTTTCTGTCACATGCAGTGCCTCACCTCTGTCTAGTTCTATAACTGTGTGAATCCTTTTTATGCAGTATGACTAAAAATAAGACAAAAAAACCTTGTGCAATATAAAACCAGCATTAAAACACTAAATAAATAAAAAGCACAGGAATCTATTAGTGACTGATATTTTATCCAATAAATTAGATGAATGAATGACTGAATTATTGTTATTGATCCATTGTCTAATAATCATGTCAGATGGCAGATAGATATCAGTTGTGTTATTATTTTTATATGTCGTCTGTTTGATTTTAAGTTTTTCAAATACATATAACACAATAATTAGATAACAATAATAATTATTAGGTATTAGGTATGTTTTAACTTAGCTGACAAGTGAGCTAACTACAAAACATTATTAAAGTACTGTACAATATCAGTACTGTGGAAGAATTTCACTGGGTTTACAGGAGTTATAGAAAAATTTTCTTGACTCAGTGAACTTGCATATCTTATCTTGTATTACATAATTACATATTTTGCATACAGAACTGTCTGTGACCTATATCTGTTAACATATGAGCCCTGTAGGTACGCACCATTTCTTTATTTAAAAGAGGGAATACAAATATATATCGCCTGTCCTTCCACACGTAAAATTAAAAAAAAAACGGTGGTAAATTGGTGCCTCTGTTTCCCTGCTTATACAAGTAGATATATGGGAGTTTGCTGTAATCAAAACGGAACTAACTAGTCATGTGTAAAATCTTCCTATTCCTCCCACTATTTTCTTTCTGTTGTAATTAGCAATCTGCTTTTTTATTGAGTGACAGTGTGACTGTTCATGAAGCTTTGGGAGCACAGAGTAGGTGAGGTTTGACTTCATGCAAATGTGCAGCAGCAAACAGCTGCCCAATCGCTCAGCTGGAGGTTAATATGTAAATCATTTGCTCGCTGCAAACATGTCCAGAAGTTACAATTTGAGTGAGAGGAAACAGCCTGCCTATTTTTATCTGTCTGTGCATTTTATAAGGGCATCCCATTGCCCTCATGAAATTTTGGCACTAATGTAGCTCCATACAATGTACATTAATTAACTTATTTAACTGTCATTTGCAGTCTCTCCATTCTCTCCCTCAGTGCTGGTTGCAGTCTTTTTCTTGCACTGCTGCTCAGGGACCTTTTTTTTTTTAGTCGATCTGCGAGATGTGGAATTTGGGCACTAAACTGGGGACCTTCTGAATTTCTGTATGTAAAGGATTATTTGGATCAAGCAATGCAACAGTTTAAATACAACTACTGACAAATCAAAAGATCCAAGTGTTGAAAGAAAGGTACAAAAATAGTTTGCGTAACTAAAATGTGATTAAGTGAGAGTCCACCTGGGGGCCTTTGTGGAGTCTGATGGGCTGATTGAAATTACTTTTGGCATCTGGTGCATCTGGTCCTGCTGAGAAACGTGTAACTGATTTCACTGTGGCCCCTCCATGAAGCCTTTAAAGGACCAAAGTAAGTTTTTTTTTTTTTGCAATTTAGTAAAGTAAGACTCTTGTTTCTCCCAACCAGTATCTCCAGCCCAGAGCAGTCGAATCAGATTCTGCAGGAAGTGGACCACAAAATCCGGTCTTACCCTTTCAGCTTCCGGGGGGCAGCCATACTGAGCGGTCAAGAGGAGGGGGCGTATGGCTGGGTCACCGTCAACTATCTCTTAGAGAACTTCATAAAGGTGCCATGACTTGCGTGAAGTGTGTTTTTGTAGTTAGCAGGATTTAATCAGTTGGACATTTTAGAAGTATCCAGTCAACCAGGTATATAGTCAGTATTCACTTTGAAATCTTTCATGTACAGCAACAGTGGGCTAATGAGGACAGGATAGTGCAACTAAGTAATTCATTTAAAATGGTTAATTGCTGCAGAGATGATCTGACAGCGTTTGCGTATTTAAAGCTTATTTAGAGGGTCACTGATGACACCTAGTGGCCTCTTCACTACTGCTCATCTATCACTATCTCCTCTATTGTCAGAGGTGGCATTGGGGATGAATCTCTGGGTCAACTTGGGAAATTTGGATAAAATTCTCTCGCTCATTATCTTCTGTGTCTATTTTCCTTGTTATTTCTTTGCAGTATGGTTTCGTAGGGCACTGGTTAAGCCCCGGCAGGCCCACAGTAGGAGCGCTTGATTTCGGCGGGGCGTCCACCCAGATAACATTTGCAACCCAGGAGGAAGTAGAGGACGAACACGACATGATGAAGCTGCATCTTTATGGCCATCGGTACTCCCTGTACACACACAGCTACCTGTGCTACGGGCAGGACCAGGTCCTCAAGAGACTGCTGGCTCATATAGTGAAGGTAGTGTAACATGTAGTAGACCTTTTTATTGTATTTATATTATAACACAGGAGTGAATACCTTGAACCTGAAATAGTTACACTGTGCCAGGAATGCATGTTGTCAAGATATCGTGCCAAAGCTTATTTAAGGGATAAGACCCTCATGTGGACTGTTGAACATGGTGGCAGTTAAAGTAAGTGATGAGCTGTGTACAGTAGATTGTGACAGCACTTTTTTTCTCTGGTCCGGATCCAGATGTTACATTAACTGTCAGGCTCAAAGTTACCGTCTTCACTGTCTTTAGACCCAGACTAAACCAGACTGCAACACTGAGCGGTTAAACAGATCCAGACCTCATAGTTCAAATCTAGAAATACAATTTGTATAATGTGCAATTTGTATGCTTTGGATGTACCTGCAGATTTCACATATTTGTGTTTTTCTGTATTGCAGTTGTACATAAACACAAGATATCTGGTATTAAAGTAGCATATGTACAAAACAAACAGCATAAATATTACATATGAAATCTGTATGAAAGCTGCTATTATCATCATTATATTATTATCCTACTGGATTTTTGAGACAGATACAGATGCTGATGAACATGTGAGGGCTGAAAAGAGGGTAAACATTTTGATAGCATTATATCTTACAGTATATATTACACAAATTATAGACACACTTACCACAAACAAACATTTCCGGTATGTATCCCTTAAATTTGGTTATGAAAGAATAGTGACTGAAAAATGTACTGATCAGGACATTTTATAGTTGAAAAATTAGTTATAAAAATTGGAACTAAAAAAAAAAAGTTAGTTAAGACTTCACTAACTTAATTAAGTGTTATTATAGGTTTTGTTAGTGCTCCCCGATGGACAAAAGTCTGTTTCCTGCAGTAACATACACCAATATATTCGACCATACCAAATCGTCAGGGTTCTAATTATCTATTATGGATGACAACATTGTATAATGAGAACATAATTCTACAATTCTGATCTCTCTCTCTCTCTCTCAGACTCAGGATTACTCTGGGTCAGTCACTCACCCCTGCTACCCTGCAGGCCACAATAAAACGTTAAAGTTGAACAGTATATTCAACTCTCCGTGTACGGAAAAGTACAAACCCAGCTCCTACAACTCCCAGGCCTCTCTGACAGTACTAGGCAGTGGACATTATGAACACTGTCGGGGAAACGTGTCCGAGATCTTCTCCTTCGTCAGCTGCCCCTTCTCCCAGTGCTCCTTTGATCAAGTCTTCCAGCCAAATGTCACCGGTAGCTTCGTGGTAAGAATGGCTGGAGGGGATGGATGGCACAGAGGGGTTATACACACTGGTGGCATTCTAGACTAAAGGTCAGCCTGAACACAGGGGATACAGACACAGTGTTGCTCACAAAGTTCATAATTTTTTACCATTTTCAGACAGACAAACTATATCCTGTGAGTCAACGATTATATACATAGCAAGCATTACTGGATAGCACACGAACAAAACTATAAAAGACGCTCACATTTGCATCAGCAGTGATCTAAAATTGCATACTTTGAATGGAAACCTAAGAGCAGAATAGACTTCTTAGCACAAGATCTTTCCCACAGTAAAACTAGCTACACTAAGGAATGCTTTATTGAATAAAGTACTGTATTGGATATGTGGCATTTATATGTATTAGCCCAGCCTTGTAACGGTATAATAATTACTGTAACGAAAGAACAAATTTACACACACAGAAAATTGTGTTGTGATTTTCTGGAGATGTATTGACAACTTACATTATTTCACAATAGGCTACTCACTAGAATAAATACCATATGGCCTTAAAATGCAAAGAAAAACATAGAAAAATAGGCTGTAGACATTAGTTATGTCTCATTCTTTCAATGTACTATTACTGAGTTTTGCATTTTGTCCTCTTTCTGTGTTATCAGGCGTTCTCTGCATTCTACTACATTCACTCCTTCCTGCAGCGTGTCACTGGTATCACTGTGAGCACCCCTTCACAACTGGAGGAGGCGGCCAAAACTGTGTGCACGATGAATATTCACCAAGTAATTTTATTTTCTATTTATGTTCTATTTGTATAAAATATCTCATGTGTGCCTAATGTGTGTGTGTGTGTGTGTGTGTGTGTGTGTGTGTATGTCTGTGTATGTATGGAGTCATGCGAGGGTATGCACCTGACCAATTTACATCTTTGTTGGTTAATAATTTTTTATTTTTTTATTTTTATTGGTTTATTGGGATAGTGGAATGTAGACAGACAGGAAAGGGGGGCAGAGAGAGGATGACACGCAGCAAAGGGCCGCAGGTCGGATTCGAACCCGAGCCGCTGCAGCAACTGCAATTCTGTACATGGGTCGCCAGCTCTACCGACTGAACTAGCCGGGCGCACCATTGTTGGTTAATTATCAGTTTGTTTAGTAGTACTTTCAAAACTGTTCCTAATGGAGTAATGGATCTGGGAAAACATTTTTAAAGGCTTTTTACTCCATTTGGAAGTAACTTCACTGCTAGATGCCACTAAATCATACACACTGGTCCTTTTACTTTTCCTCTAGTGTCACCAGGCCACATTTTCAATTTGTCCATTCCTTTGATTTATGACCTGCAAAACTAATTACATTTGCATCAGTCTCAGTCGTACTTTGTGTTTTCTGCTAATTAGCACTGGTAGTAGCATTCTAACATGCTATATAGTGTATATATTTTATACTTAATGTTTTATTATATTTTATTTTATTCTCTTTCTGTACTCTTTGCCCCTCCATAATACTGTGCCAATTTCGCCTACAGGGGATCAGTAAAGGAACATCTTATCTTACTCACTCTGTACCCCATGTTGTAACATTTTAAAACGGTCTTGGTTTTTGTTCCAGATGCTGAATCTTGCTCCCGAGCAGAAGTCTCGTTTGCAGGACTACTGTGCTTCCTCTGTGTTTGTTAATATTCTCATGTTGAGAGGATACAGCTTTGATGAGACGTCGTTCCCACGCATTTCCTTCCAGAAGAAGGTGAGAACTTGTTAATCACTTTACGAAACAGTTTTATCCTCGATGCTCATTATCAAATGCACTAACTTGCAATAATTTGTTGCTGATCCTCCAGGCGGGGGACGCCTCAGTGGGTTGGGCTCTGGGCTACATGCTCAGTTTGAGCAACATGCTGCCGTCAGAGAGCGCAGGGTTGAGGAAGGCCCTCACCCCGGGAGCGTGGGGAACACTCATCTTTCTCTTTGTCCTCCTGTTGGCAGCTGTCCTGGTCTTCATCTTACTGCGAGCTTGTTCTGACAAGAATAAAGGAGGCAGTGAAAGCAACATCTAGATACTGCAACAACATACAGTGCAGTCTGACAACAGAAAGACAGTGATACGTTTTTTTTTGTGTTGGCCCTGTATTCCAGCACATTGGACCTGAATATGAGCTTTACTGTATTGAAGGGCGTTCACATTATAATAGGTGAACAGTGTAGGAACTGTTTCTCTTTTTATACATAGTCCCCCAATTTTAAGTTAATGCAGCAGAGCAATGATCCTAAACATAGAGACTGCTCTATATATTCACTGACTGCAAAGGATCTGACTACAATCACATACCTCTAATGACTTTATGTGCACATATACTAACTTGTCCAGTTACTCTATGTCCCCTAAAATTATAGGACTGTGTATAAAAATTACTACAACTCCTTCACTGTTCATCTGATTGGACTTTTTTGTTGTTTTTTTTAATCCAAATACGAAATTTAGTACACAACCGACACAATGAAAACGTGCCACTAACCAAATACTGTCTGGCTGAGGTTCATAAACAGTACTCCTGTGGTAGCATTGGCACTACACGGGAGGTCTGAATGTAACTTTTATTCTTAAAAAATTCGAACCAATTTTTGGTTGTATGGAATGTCATACATTTTTGTAGAAGATGTGACTGTATTCGGAAGCCCTGTTACAGTAAAATTTAGACTATACACTATGGAGATAACTACCAGTTTTATATGTAAATAATAACTATTTTACTTTTTTTTGTATTCAAAGAGGTTTTTCAGGTGGGAGTTTTTATTCACATTTTAGTCTAGATTAATTAATGTTAAATAATTAATCATGTACAAGTTTGATGAACAACAGGTGTTTGCGTATTATAAACATTTGTTAACAAACAATCTGCAGTCTCTGAGAACCTTAAAGCTGAGCGGAAGAGGTTATTACCTTATTGTAACCGACTTGACACACTGCTCAGTAAAACCAGTTAAACAGTTTTAGTCAGTAAGGACAGAAAAACTATCATGGCGTCTTTCAACAAAGATTTAATTGTCAGAATTGAATTGAATTGACTTGACTTGACTTGTACTACACTGTATTACACTGTGAGGCTTGTTAAACTGGATTTTATTACACATGATGTGTTGTGTTTGTTGGGCCCACCCCCTCTGTTACAGGTAAAACACACACAAAAAAAATTACATTGTACAGCAAAAGGCTGATCAGTGGTCTTAAACATTATCATTTAGGGTACTGCATGTTAAGACGTTTGTGCTGTAACATAAACACATTCCGATACGTAGCTACAAGGTGTGCTGGTATGAAAAAAAGCAAAGGTAACTGTGCCAAATAAAAATTCTGGCAGCAGCTATTCAGTGTCTGGACAGCTTTTCTAAGAACTTCCAAGAAGTTTCAGATCCATTAAAGCGCCCCTTGCATGTTGGCTTTTATGTTTATTGTAGCACTTTTCAAATTGTTCTCATTGCATAATATCGTTGTGCTTTTAAAAAATATTGACAATTAGTCCTAGTGAAAGTTGGTGTAGGTTACTGTGCGTCGCTTTCAACCCATTCAGTCAATATTCAATGGAACAAGTGTGACAACAGATTAAAGATAGATATAGAGTATTGATTAAATAAATGTTATACCTTACCAACATTTTAAGTAGAATTAGCCACATTAGATGCTTTGTTATTATTAAGTCATTGTGAATTTTGAATTACATTTCTCTCTGTGTGGTCATTTTATATGTTTTACCTCAGATAAAAAAAATAAATCTCTTATTTTGTCTGTTTCCTTTCTACAAGCATTCTTCTGTGTTTGGGTCCTTTCCATTCAGCTAATGCTTCTTTTCTTCTTTGGTTTGCTCTGAACTACAATTACCAGAACGACTTGCTTTACGGAAGTATCCGGCTCGTTCTGATGACGTCGCATTGCCTTCAGAATAAAAGCGGGGATAGTTGTATTTGAGATTAGGTAGGTAAAGTGATTTATGTTTAATATTTGTACCTACTCGGTGAATGTCAAGATTAGTAATTGGGATCAGTAACCTAAGTAAGAAAATATAATGTTGAACTAACGTTAATCATGTTACAATGTTGTGGTTTAGGTAAAAGGAACTGTAAGTCTTTAAAGTCTTAGGGCTGGGTGGTTGGTTGAGATCTTGGCCTGTATTGTTCCACACCAAAAAGAGGTGAAACAGGCTATACATTTTTAAGCAGAGAGAGAGAGAGAGA